CAGTTAGAGGGATCAGGCCAGCAGGGGAGAGAAGTTAGGGAGATCAGATCAGCAGGCAGGTGAGCAGTTAGGTGCCAGCAGCCCCTAGGCGTCCCGGATTGGAGAGGGTGCAGGCCAGGCTGAAGGACCCCCCGCTCCTGTGCACAAATTTCATTCACCAGACCTCTAGTAGGCCATAACGACCTAACAATTGGTCCCTATGACGCCCACTGTGGCCAGCGAACTGCCTGATCAGGGGGTGGGGCCGGCAGCCAACCTCCCCCCTGCCGGCCTGTCCCTGATTGGACTCTCCCACCCTGATCAAGAGACAGGCCTGCTGGCCAAACCCCCCCTCCTTTCCCCCTCCATCAGCCCACCCCACCCTGATAAGCCTGCAGCTCCTACCTTGGCCGGCCCACCCCTGATCACACCCCCCCACCCCAACGGGGAGTGAAAATTCATTTGGGCGACCCCAACCTCCTGCAGCTCCTCCCCTTGGTAGGCCATGCCCCCAATGAGCCCCGACCACCCTGATCAGCCTGCAGCCCCACCCCCTAGCCAGCCCCACCCCTGATCAGCACCCTACCTCAATAGGGGGCAGGGCTGGCTGGCCAATATCCTGCAGCCCTCCTCCCACCAGGCCTCACTCCAGATGGGCCCTCCCACCCCCCAATCAAGGGCAGGGCTGGTTGGCCAACGACCTGTGGCCCTTCCCCCAGGCCGCTGGCCCCCAATTGGTACCCCCCCCCACCAACCCCATTGTGGGCGGAGTTGGCCATGGGGAGGGGCTGTGACTGGTGGGCCAGCCCTACCCCCCGTTGGCCCTCCCCAACCCCAATGGGGAGCAAGGCCCATGAGCTAATCGCCTGTGGGCCCCTTCCCCCAGCTGAGTAAGCCCTGATCAGGGGCCCTGATTGGGCCCTGATCCAGGCTGGCCGGCCAGCCAACCTCCTGCCATCTCCTCCTCCCGACAGGCCCAGCTTCGATCAGCCCTGATTGGGGCCGGGCTGGCCAGACCCCACCCGTGCACGAATTCATGCACTGGGCCTCTAGTGTATGCCATAAAAACACAATTTCTCTCCCTAAAGTCACTCTCATTTCAAATCAAAAGAGCCAAATTAAGACTGATCTATTTACTGCATTAAGTCTAGTTTCAATTTGGCCTGATTATTTGCATGAATACAAGAATAGCAATTAATCATATAGGCTCTTTTAAATCTGCTTTGCTGGAATCTCATAAGAAATCTCCAGATTAAGCTTTAATTAGCATCTCAGGGCAAAGAAGCCAAGCCACAGTTGCCATCAGGCTTTTCCTGCAATATCTATAGATTTGGGTGAATTCCTTAAGTTCTCAAGATTCCCAAAATGTTTTGAGATTCTTTCTTCGTCATCTCCTAGGAGAGCAATCTTAAGTCCTTAGCTGAAAAAACTGCCATGAACCATGTAAATAAGCAAGGCTCCAGGCTGTTTATAAAAGGGGCTTTTATCGGCTTCCCAAATCAACCTTAATTCCTTAAAGCTTTCTGGTAACATCCAGAGTCTAGGCGTGTTTCTCTCAACCATGACAGTCCAGTCAAAGCCTTGGTTAATAACCCCAGCTTCTAACTGTCCTGTTATAAAAAGTACAGATTCCTAGATACTACGCAGAGCTCCCCAAAGTGATCCTGCCTATTTACACTTTCATAAACATTATGTGAGAGTTCTGCTCCATATCCTCAGAAGTTTCTTAAAGTTCTCTCTATATAGATTTTTTTTTACACAATTGTAGCTTCATTCTTAGGCATTTTATTTTTGTTACTTTAAAAAATCACATGTTGTTTCTAATTGGCTATTGTTTGTATGTTAGTTAACTTTTATGGTTTTTATTTAATGTTGTACCCATCACATTTGTAATTAGAAAACTTATCAGTTAATTCTCTTGATTTCATGGGTGATGAGATGATAATTTTAGATACATCTTTATGTTTCATATGCATGCAATTTCGTTTTATTGCATACAGTCATACATCACTTATCAACTGGGATCCATTTTGAGAAATGCATCCTTAGGTTATTTCCTCATTGTGCAAATGTCATAAAATGAGCTTATACAAACCCAAATGGTCATCCTACCACACCCCTAGGCTATATGGTATAGCCTATTGTTTCTATACTATAAGCCTGTACAGCAGGATTCTGTACTGAATACTGTAGGCAATAATAACACAATGGTAACTACCTGTGTATCTAAGCATAGGAAAGGTACAGTACATGTTTGGTACACTGTTCTTTCATATGCAGTGCAGTGAGTTTGTTTACACCAGCATCACCAGAAACATGTGAGTAATGCGTGCACTACAATGTTACAACAGCTATAATGTCACAACAGCTATGATGTCATTACGTGATAAAACTTTTTCACCTCCAGTGTAATCCTGTGGGACCACCATTGTATGTGCTCTCTCTCATTGACTGAAATGTCGTTATGCGACACATGATTGTATTTCCTTCAGAAAAAAGCATTTAAAATAGTGTTAATGGTGAACATGTTAAACCTCCAAACTTCATTAAAACTTCAAAATCTTTATCAGAATATTTTTATGATAGAATACACTCTCTGAGGAACATTTTAGTTCCATCTTTTCACAGCTGTTCCAGAGCAAAAAGACGAGATGAAGCATTCAAATAACTGAAGGGGGTCCTTCAAGGCCAGAGCATAGAGGAGAAAAAAGACTCTGTAATGAAATGAGGAGGAAAATCCAGGAAGTAATCGTATTTGGCCGTGTCACCTAAAAGGGGTAAGGGAAAGGGAAAGCGAAAAAACAACAAACTGTGATGATCACAGCCCCAGGACACAGACCCACTAAGAGGGTGTGATTTAACTCCAAGACCACGCTGCCCCTCCCTCACACCTGACCACCACATCGACAGGGCTCTGGGATGGCAACAGTAAACTGAAGCTGCAGGAACTATGAGGGACAGACTCTATTTAAGAAGGAGTCCTTTAAGAAGTACAAATTGGCAGTTACAAAGCAGTCACAGGGATGAAAAGCACAGCATAGGAAATATAGTCAATAATATAATAACTATGTATGGTGCCAGGTGGGTACTGGATCACGTCATAAGGTATACAGGTGTTTAACCACTATGCTGTACACCTGAAACTAATATAATATTGAATGTCAACTGTAACTGAAAAAAAATGTAATAAAGTTTTCAAAGCTTTAAAAAAGGAGGTCCTTAGGGAACCCCACAGACAATAGGTGAGACAAAATTCTACAGGCCTATTGACTTTAGTTCCTAATATCTGTTGTATCACATCCAGCTTTCAACATTACAAGGCCTAGTAATAGGCGGAAAAAAACACAGTCTGAAGACACAAAGCAAATATTAGAGCCACTCAGATATGACACAGATTTTGGAAATTTCAGACACAGAATGTGTGTGTGTGTTTGTGTACACACACATATATGAAGAGATTTCTTTATTATAAAGGATATTTATGTATTATAAAAAATTGGCTCACATGATTTATTATAAGGAATTGGCCCATCTGATTATGGAGTTAATAGTCGCAAGTTCCAGTCAGCACACCAGAGACCCAGGAGAGCCAGTGGTGCAGTTCCCACCTTCTGAAGACATTCCGTTCAAGACTCAGTTCTAGTCCAAGGCCTTTCCCTGGGAGAAAATATTTAAAGGAAGGATGAGTTAGGGAAAGCAAAGAGACAATGAATTTCTGTCACAATAGTGAAGGCATAGGATAGCTGCAGGAATTGGGCTGTTCTCAAAGAAGGGAGATTAGTTAAAAAAAAAATCATTCTTCCAGCACAGCAATTTTTAACTGATGTTCCGCAAGAATTTTTGAAACATTTAACAGCTGACTATTTAGTCAGGGTCCTAGCTGCATTCCCTTGGGCCAGGGGTGGGCAATCTTTTTGTGAGTGCATGCCAAAACCAGCAAAATCTCTGACTCAAAATTCTTCTGCGTGCCAACCCTAATTTTTTGAGAACATGTTACACTTACTTGATATCTCTTAAGGTGTACGTATGTGAAGAAACTTGAAGAAATAATAAAATTTATTCGAGCGACAAAAATACAGTATACGATGATGAAAAATACATTTATTTTTTAATGTATACATACATGTACACTGGTAGTCCGACAGAAAACTTTATGACTCCATTTGATATTACCAGTGGGGCTTTTGCTGCTGCATCACTCATGACAGAGATTTTACATCAGGTTTATATTTCGTGACCTTCAGAGATATGCACGAGCTACTACTTTCATCTGTCAGGCTACTCCTATTATGAGACTTAACAAAATTCATCACTGAGAACAAAGATTCACAATTGTAAATGGAAGATTATAAGAGAGGGTTTCACGTGCCAGCAAAAGTTACTGGCATGCCATGTTTGGCACACATGCCAGGGGTTGCCCACCCCTGCCTTAGATGGTCAAATTAAAAAATGAAGCCCTAACCTGTTTGGCTCAGTGGATAGAGCGTCGACCTGCAGACTGAAGGGTCCCAGGTTTGATTCCGGTCAAGGGCATGTATGTACCTTGGTTGCAGGCACATCCCCAATAGGGGGGGTGCAGAGGGCAGCTAATCAATGTTTCTAAGTCTCTATCCCTCTCCCTTCCTCTCTGTAAAAAATCAACAAAATATACTTTTTTAAAAATGAAAGCAGTTGACACAATAGCCATCTTGTGTGAATGAATCAAAATGACACCTATTTCTTTTTGTCAGTTTGGCAAAACATATATTTTTTGTAATTAGTTTGTGTGTACAATGAGATTAAAAACATTGAAAATTGTTGCCCTGGCATAAAATTTTCTGAAGGGTCTGCTGCCTTTTGTTAAGCCTCTAAATTCTGGTTGTGCTGGTCAGGATAAAAATAATAACAGTCTTGTGCTCTTGTTCTTCCTGTTTCTCTCACTAAGGCTGCAAAGTGCACACAGCATAGGTTCTGACTCAGGAAGACCTGGCCCGGGTGCTCCCTCCCACTTCCTGCTTCTCCACCCACAGCAGACAGCCGCTTTGCCTAGAGCAGTTCTTAGTTGAGTTTTCGGTCACATTTTGTTGAAAAATACAGTACCAGCAATGTTGCCTTTCTGTTCCAGTGCCTACCGTGCTTTATGGGACCTCCTCCAGTCAAGGCCCCTAGATGCCTACAATGTGTCGACCCCAAAAGAAAAAGCCAAGAACTCACAGGAGGTAAGTCTCTGAGTATATCTGTGTGTGTGTGTATTTGTGTTTGTGTGTTATGGTTGTATATATTTTGTGTATTTATGTTTGTGTGTGTGTGTTGTATTTGTGAGTGTATGTGTGTGAGTTGTGTGTATTGTGTTTTTGTATGTGTTATGCTTGTGCGTATTTATATATTTGTGAGTATAATATGTGGGCACTGTGTTTGAGTGTATACAGGGTGGTGCAAAAGTAGGTTTACAGTTGTTCATATGGAAAATAATACAATAATTAATAAGTAATACAAGAATAAACTGTTTAGAGTACTCATAACCATAAATCTACTTTTGGCCCACCCTCTTTGTGTGGCTTGTGTGTGTTGTGATTTTGTGAGTATTGTGTTTGTGTGTATGCATGTGTGTTGGGTAAATGTCTATTTGTGTGTTTGTATGTTTGTGAGTGTATGTGTGTTTGAGTGTATTATTGAGTGGTATATGTTGTGTTTTTGTGTGTGTTATGTTTGTGTGCATGTATGTGTGTTGCGTATATGTATGTTTGTATTTTTGTGACTGTATGTGTTGTGTTTCAGTGTATATGTGTGGATGGTGTGTGTCATGTTTCTATGTGTATGTTTGTGTGTATGCATGTTTGTTGTGTATATTTGTGTTTCTATGTCTGTGGGTGTATGTGTACTGTGTTTAAGTGTATGTGTGAGTGGTATATGTCATGTTTCTGTATGTGTTATGTTTGTGAGTGTATGTGTGTGTTGTGGTTGTGGTTGTACTGTGTGAGTGGTGTGTGTGTGTTGTGAATGTGTGTGTCTGTGGTATATTAGAAAGGGCTGTGACTAAAAAGTCAGGAGAACTTTGTGTGCCTTGTGCCCTTCATAAACTCCTTGCTTATATGGGGAAGATGCTTCCATGAGTTTTACTTTCTCCGTTCGGAGTAGCTTCTCCATGTTCCATGTCAGAGACAAAACCACCGAGTGCGGCAAAGGTGTGAGATGCTGTTCAGGGCTGGATCTAGGGACCTGCAAGTCAGGTGTCCCCACACCCCGGACCCTTCATCTGGAGAAGGTCCCTGACTGTGAACGTCTTCAGGTGTCCTGCGTGTCCCAGCACAGAGTCCTGGGGCTTCCCACTTTCCTTCCCAAACCCACACACCAGGATGGACTCCTGGAACAGGGAACGATGTTAGTCCCTGAGGTGAGGCAGTGCGAGTGGCAGCAGGGCGCACTGCCCTCTCGCCTGAAGGATGACGGGAGTTTCTGGTGGGTGACAAGGCCATCTTTGCAAAGGCTAGGACTTGCAATAGAAAATGTCATAAAATGCGCTAGAATGTTAAAGGGACGACAGGACACCTAGTTCAGGCCCAGCATTCACTTAGGGGACACTGAGGCTCAGGCAGTGTGACCTTGGAGGTGGGCCCTGAGGTCTCCTGGCTTCAGCAGGACTGTCCCGGAGCCATGTAGTTCCTGTGCCGAGGCTATTGGCCTCCTCAGCACAGCACCCGGCCACCCATGTCTCAGCCCTCTGCCATCCTCACTGCCAGGCCTTCCTCAGGGATCATTCTGGCACCAGGACCTCACTGCACCCCCAGCCAGCCCTTCACCACAGTGTCCTGCTCCCACCTTCCTGAATATTCTGTCCACACATCCTTCCACTGCTCCCGGGACAGTGTCAGACCTGCTTCTGCGTCTCTGCTCCTTTCTCCTCCTCACATGACAGCTCCAGGACCTTCTGTCCATCCAAACGCCATCTGTTCCTCAGGCTGCAGGCCATCTTACCTTTTCCATGAAATTGCTTAAACTCACAATGCAGACTACAAAGAGGAGAGAGGGGAGAGAGAGAGAGAGAGAGAGAGAGAGAGAGAGAGAGAGAGAGAGAGAAACAGGGCCCCTAAAGGAGATAATGTCTCAGACCTTCCTCTCCTCACTCAAGCCATACCCCTCCCCCCAAAGCAATGTAAAAAACTTCCTTCTGACAAGAGAAAGTCAGGTGCCCCCTGAACTAGTTGAAAAATCAGACATACTATTTTCTCTAGGTGGAGGAAGAAGAATTCGAGGCGATTGACCCGGATAATCCCTCAGGAGCAGTGGCCCAGCATCCTAAACAAGATGTGTCTGGAGGTAAAATGACTTCCTAGTGTACCTGAACCTGAGGCAGGTGTGGATGGGGACTGTGATGTGCAGGTGCCCTTGGAGAGGCAGCAGAGTGCAGCCCAGTCAGAGCTGCACCAGCAGATGGCCCTTGGGTGGGGCCTTGCTTAAACCCACCTAATAAGAGGGAAAGGCCCCCAACAGGCACAGTGGGAGAAAGGTGCAGAAAAGAGGAGAGAGAGAAAGAGAGAGAGAGAGAGAGAGAGAGAGAGAGAGAGAGAGAGAGAATATGAACTAATCCTGTACTCAGGAATTACCCAGGGATACCTGTACTCCCCTTGGTGGGGGCTTGCAATCCAACAAACCCTATGTGGGTGCTTGATAGCTCAGATGTGGGAGCACTGAGGGTCAGAAAGGCTGCAAAGCACCATGTGAGTGAGTGGCTGCCTTAGAACTGGGCTGGCCCTTCTCAAGGGGATCTTCCCCGAAAGCTCTTGCATTGGGGTCAGGTACTTAACAGTCATGGCCTCAACTTCGTCATTATCCCAGGGAGACAGAGTTTAGGAATTTTCGCAATCTATCCATTTTCCTGGCCAGGATAATTTATTTATGATTCATCATGTATTTGAACACAAATGATTTTTATACTATATGGACTTCAATGGCCTAAGCCAGTGGTCAGCATACCGCGGCTCGCGAGCCACACGCGGCTCTTTGGCCCCTTGAGTGTGGCTCTTCCACAAAATACCACATGCGGGCGCGCACGTACAGTGCGATTGAAACTTTGTGGCCCATGCGCAGAAGTCAGTTTTTGGCCTGGGTGAGTCTATTTTGAAGAAGTGGCTTTAGAATAAATGGGGGGGTATATGTTGGTCACAGGCGACAGGAGACGCGGTGCAGGCGGGATACACAGCGCAGGGGAGGTGCGCGCGATTCATGCACAAGTTGAGGATGGGAGAGTTGGAAGGGTTCAACCTCAGCGAATGTACCTCAATCAGATTGAGGACGTTTTCAGCAAAGGCCAGTTTAGGAGTACCCTAATTAAGTTAATAACAATGTACCTACCTATATAGTTTAAGTTTAAAAAATTTGGCTCTCAAAAGAAATTTTAATTGTTGTACTGTTGATATTTGGCTCTGTTGACTAATGAGTTTGCTGACCACTGGCCTAAGCCATTGGAAGCAAGCCATATTAATAAACATGCCGACACATGATTTTCCCTTTCTCATAGCAATCAAAGTTAAATATTACTTTTAAAATCCTCTCTAGCATTTGAGTAATGTACTTGGGGTGCACTGGCTCCAGGCTTGCCCAGAGGGGAGTCGATACTGTCTTCACCCAGCTTCAGATTGGCTGAGAGGGCAGGGATGAACATTCCACCTTCCTTGCTTCCTTGAAACTCCCACCCACTCACTCAGATTCCTTTCAAAGCCAAGTGGGGGAAGCTGGAGGGACCCAAAGTCAACAGTCAGAATTGGTTGGTGTGTCCACCAGCCAAGGATGCTAATCCTGTCTCTATGAGGTAAAGTTAGGGCTCTGTCATTGAGACACATCAATGTCTTCACTGTGGAACAGACTTGGAAACCAGAGCTGCCATTTGGGACCTTTTTCTGTGCTCTGGGTCTGTGACCTCAAAGGCCAGGAGATGGAATTCTCTTTCTGTCCTTCAGCCCCAGTCATTTCTAAAATTTTAACATTAGATTTTTAAATATTAGTTGGCATCTTCAAGTCTTCTCTTGACCAATAGTTCCTATATTCATCTGGGTGGGAATATTTGGCCCAAATTTCAAGGATATAGACAAAGAATGTGATCTCAGTGTGCCTCTGTGCTGTTGAGCCCGGGATCTGGTTGAAAGATCCCATATTCCCCATATTTCTTGTTGGAACAGCTGAAGGAGGTGATGTGGTCAGTCACTTCAGGGACAAGACATAGATACAGACCCACACACTTCTATCTTCATCACCCAGGGATACCTAGGAAAGCTCAGGATCTCATATTCATGAAGGGCTGGTATCCACCTGGGTGAGAACAGGTGACCCTGAGAAGTTTCAAAACCTGTAGATAAAATGTGGTATTCTACCATATGATCCAGCATTTCCACTTCTGGGTATATGCCCCAAAGAAATCAAAGCAGGGACTTAAATAGTCATGTGTACACTAATGTTCAAAGCAGCATTATTCACAATAGTGGATAGTGGGAACAACTCATGTTCACATATAAGAGTAAACAAAATGTGACCCATCCATATAATGGAATATTTTTCAGCCTTGAAAAAGAAGGAAATCCTGATACATGCTACAGTATGGATGAACCTTGAAAACACTATGTCAAGTGAAATAAACCAGACAAAAAAGGTCAAATTTACAGGAACTTATTCTAGGTCCCTAGAATAGTAAAATTCATTGAGACAGAAAGTAGAGTGGTGGTTAGCAGGTGTTTGGGGAAGGGAGGCATGAGAAGTTATTGTTTCATTGCTACAGAATTTCTGTTTGGGGTGATTTCAACATTAAACTTTTAAATATTAGTTTGCATCTCCAAGTCTTGAGATTCGTGAGTGATGATTGCACAAAAATGTGAAGCATTCAATGTCACTGAGTTCTACACCTAAAAATAGTAAAAACAGTAATTTTAGTTTCTGTATATTTTACCACAATAAAACAATTAGAAAGAATGGAATGTGAGCCCAGAGCAGGTCTTAGGTACAGATGTTAATCTGTCCTTCCTCAGATGACAGTCTGCCCTGAGGTCATGAAGCAGACCCAGGAGTGAGGCTCTAAACCCTAATCCCTCTGCTTTCTCTTGATGCTTCTAGATCTGAGGGAGAAGGAACAGACCCCAAAGAGGCTGAGGCTCATCCTGGTGGGGAAAACCGGAAGTGGGAAAAGTGCAACAGGAAACAGCATCCTTGGCCAGGAAGTGTTCCAGTCCAAGCTCAGTGCTACACCAGTGACCAAGACCTTCCAGAGAGGGAGCCGAGACTGGGCCGGGAAGGAACTTGAGGTGATTGACACCCCCGATATTTTGTCCCCTGGAGTTCCACAGGAATTGGCAGGTAGGGGCTCCTGGGAAGCCATCGTCTTCTCCTCCCCAGGGCCACATGCGGTGCTCCTGGTGACAGAGCTGGGCAGGTTCACAAAGGAAGACCAGTTGGTGGTCAGGCGCCTCCAGGAGGTCTTTGGAGTGGGAGTCCTGGCCTACACCATCCTGGTGTTCACCCGAAAGGAAGACCTGGATGGTGACTCTCTGGATGGGTATGTGAAAGAGACTGACAACCAGGAGCTTGCCAACCTGGCCAAGATTTGTTCCATGCGCCACTGTGGCTTCAACAACAGGGCAGAGGGGGCAGAGCAGGAGGCCCAGTTGAAGGAGCTCATGGAAAAAATAGACATGGTCCTGTGGGAAAATGAAGGCCATCATTACAGCAACAAGGCTTACCAGTTCTCCCAGCAAAACCTTCGTCTCACAGAAGTGCAGGAAGGCCATATAATCCAGGGGCAAGGCTCTGAGGAAGGGCCCAGTGGGGAGTCCTTGGTGGAGGAATTGTGCCGAATCCAGAAGGCATCTGAGGAAACTCACAAATGTCTCCTGAAGAGGGCACCTATCTGAGCATATGCTGGACTCCACTGAGGGACAGCTGTTTCTTATGAGCTCCTTTCAGCCCTGTATCCAGTTTCCAGCCAGTCACTTGTCCTCTCCATCCCACAGGTCACTGACCATGCCAGTCTCCAGGTGGTAAAAAGGGGTGGGTTCCTGAGTTCTCAGCTACCATCCAGGTCCTTCATTGCATCTTTCAGTGCACGTGGACCCTCCCTCCTCTCTACTCCCTGCCCCCAGCACGCTTTCTCATATGGAACCTCACATTGCATTGGCATTGCATTTCTTGAAGTTCTTATCTTTACCCTGATAGAATGAAAGTTCCTGAGGGTATATCATTCTCATTCTTCCATGTAACCCCCACAGCATCCTGGTCTTTGGAGTCACTCCTTAAATGATGATAGTCAATCAGTGTGGGGTGTTGGTCTGGTGACTTCACACCTCCTGGACTATGTCCTTGCCCACAAAGAGGCAGGCATAGTGACTTTTTAAGTTACCTACGGTGTGTGGTAGGGCCACGACATTGTAATGGTTCTGAGACATGAGAAGAAGGACTGCTGCTTGGCTCGAGGGGGAAAGCAGGTAGAAAGAGAGAATCAGAAAGGAGGAGCCCTTTTAGTCACCTCTGAAAGAGGCCATTGGACCACAACAAAGGAGCCTGTGGGAACTGGTAGGAATGATGAGCAAAGTGGGGTGGGTTATCCAAGGAGCCAGGCCTGGTCAGGCAGGTGGCCCTTAGTCCTGGCTAAGGATCTGGAGACCTCAAGGTGTACCAAGGGGCTTGGGAAGAGGAGGAGCACTTCCCTAAAGCTGACATAGATTAGGGATGTTCTAATTAGGGTCCCCTCTCATATATCTGCCTTCTGATTATGGGGAAAAAAGACGATTTTCAGCCTTATCTGCAACCCTTTCCCTTCTCCTTGACAGTGGGGAGAAGGATGCATGAAGTCAGTGTATGGGTGTGTAGTGGGGTTCCCAGTAAGGTATGTGTGAGTGTTAAATGGAGGGAGGCAGAGAAGAAAGGGAACCTGCAAAGGTGGCAGGTGAGTGACGTGAATATTGTAGGGAGTAGCCTGCCTGGTGAGGGGAGGAGTCTATGTCATATGGGTCGTTGTGGAGGGTTGCAGACAGGGGCCTTGGGAAGCGAGGTGGACCAGTACCAAAAGACAGTGGATGTTGGTCTGTGCCTGGCCTCTGAAAAGGAGGTGCCATGTAATGCTACAAAGAGCCCAGCACATCTCAGATGAACCTCAACTTCTCTGTGGAGTCTGACCAAATGATGGAAACAGGATAGGAGGGAAAAGGGAAATACCTCGCTACAGACCCCTCTTTACTTTTGTCAAGCAATGTGGCAGAGGGTCTCCAGCTCCCTTCTTCAGGGAGGGGTGGAAAGTGGAGGTGGGGGTGACAGTGCTGGGGGACACTCAGAAATCGGAGATGCAGCCTCAAGTCTGTCTAGATGCTTACCTGCTGGTCAGAGATCCTCTCCTGTCAGAGGCTCTCTCGGGAGCCTGGTCTCCCAATCTCGAGGCCATGACACCCCCTGACCCACATACTGGGGACGCCTAAGAAAGCCAGAGCATTTGTTATGCTGAAAGTTTCAGGAAATTGTCTCAAGGCAGAACGGAGACTTCTTTTGGTTCATACCTAAGACAGTCCTGTGTGACCCGTTGATTACATTAGCACTCCACTTCCTATGACCAAAGCGCTATTAAGTCTTTATACTCCCAAAGATCCATGGCAGGATTTCCAGTTCTGTTCCTGTCTTCTACTTTCTCTCCTTATGAATAAAATATTGATTTGATTACAGTGGCTTTGCTTTCCTCATTTATGTACTTCCTTTGTTATTCTTAGGTATTTATTCTTCTATGTGAGGATTTAAATCAATGGTTTAAGTGTCAGAAAAGAACCTCAATGGCATTCCAGCTGGAATTGTGTCACATCTCTGTATTACATTTGGGATACATAGTAAATACTTCAAGGACACATGAACCAAGGTCATCTTGTTTCTAAGTGAGCAGACTCGCAACTTCGGAGCTATGGAGTAAAAGTTAAAACCATCTGCATTTCCATTAGGATAGCAAGATAAATTTCTTCAGTAATTGTTGTTGTTTTAACTATTAGCTGAATTCATTTCATAACAGAAAATACAAACATTTTTTCACCAAGTGACACCCATTCAGTGATTCTAAATGATAAGTCACTCAAAACATATCAGACATGGTGTTTCCTCTCCTTTATTACTAAAAATCAGGGAAGATGCTGCCCACAACATTTCAGAAGGCAGGACAGATGCTGCTCCACTGCTGTCACTCCGGGGGCTCTGAGAGTGGGGCAGGCAGGTGTGGGCCTGTCTGGACACTCCACAGTCTGTGTATCACTAAGAAAGACATGGTGTGGGGAGAGAGGATTGTTTTGGTTCAGGCTGTGAAAATAGTGAACTTCAGAATTCGTTATTTTCAAAAAATATCTCAACACTGGAGTAAAGCACGAGAAACAGAGACTTGTGTAGTTTGAAGAGCCCAGTGAGTACACACTTGTTTCCTCCTTGGTGGGTCACATCAGCTGCTAAAGGTCTCCGGGAAGGTTTCTCCCTCTCACTTCTCCTGGAACAACATTGATGAACTAAGGAGAAAATACACAATAACAAAATAATAATTTTAAAGCAACTGTTTGGAGGCACTGGGAAGTGACCAAATATAGACCAACCCCAGGGGATTCAAACGTTTGTCAATATCCAGTGGCCAAGATAAAGAGACCACACTACTGCCACATTCATGTGGTCTTCCGGTCCTGCTGACAGGAATAACCCTCAGGCAGAAATTCACAGTGCCTGGAGAGAAGGTGGTTGAAGTGTGGAGGCAGCCAGAGCCGGTAGACAATGATGGGGAACCTCCCAGAAGAACAGAGCTACAGAGGGAGTGGGGCTTTAGAAATTCTGCACATAAATTACTCCTCAACCTTTAGCTGATCCTGGGACTTTAACCTCCAAAGGGTTCAAGGGAAAATTGTCCTGGAAGGCAGGAAGAGCAGGTCGGAGATGTCAACAGCAAACAGAATTGGAGTAGTTCCACTGAAATCCCAAAGGGTCATATTTTAGGAGTAAATAGCACATCAGGGTTCAGGGATTTGCCTACAGGAAGAGGTAAATTGGAGTAGTCCTTGGCTAATGACATCTAAACCCACCCTTTCCAAGGTCAAAGGGATATGCCCATAATTTGAGTGAGTGTTTGCTTAAATGAAAACAAACTCAACATTCTTTAGAGAAGATAATAATATCCAGAGTCTTTACCAGCATATTACCTACATGATCCTGTAAAGTATTAAAAATTCTTCTTTTCTAACATAAGGCTAAAAAGCTTTAAAATTTCCCTCTATGCGTGTTTATCTATAGCTCACAATTTTTTGCATATTCTGTTTTCACTATCATTCACTTTAAATATTTTCTATGTTCTTTGTGATGTTTTTTTTTCCCCACTCATGGGTTACTTAGAAGTTTGTGCTTAATTTCCAAATATGTGAGTATTTTCTGGAAGTTGCAGTATCCAATATGGTAGCCACTAGCCACATGTGGCTATTGAGCACTTGAAATATAGTGGGTGTACCTGAGAAATGGAATTTTAAATGTTATCTAAGGATAACTAATTTTTACTTTAAAATTGAAGCAGTACCAGTCATTTCTCCATGAACTACAGCCTTGTTGTTTTGGGTATAAATACATTTGATCTAAGTGTTGTATCACATGTTAATGTTGTATCACAATGCATTGTAGTATTAACATAAACACCTCATCCATCTAGTCACCACAGTGGACTGGTTCTTTAGTACTTTCTTTTAATGCAGGGCATTCTATGGTGTCTGCGGGTCATACGCACTTGTAAATATCCTATCTAATAATAGAGAAACATGGTAATTAACCATAACTTCGCTACCCTTCCCATTGGCTAATCAGCAAGATATGCAAATTAACTGCCAACCAAGATGGCGGCCGGCAGCCAGGCAACGGATGCGGACAGGAGGCTTGCTTGCTCCAGTGACGGAGGAAGCCAAGGAAGCCAAGGTTCCCCGCCTGCCGGTGCTGGGCTCTGAGCTGCTCTCTAAGAAACATTGCAAATATAGAAGCTAAACAAAACCCCAGAAACCTGCTTTCAGTCAGCCAGGATCTCAGAGCTGGAGTCGCAACAAAGTTTCAAATACAGAAGGTAAACAAAGCCCAGAAACCTGCTTTCAGCAGCCGAGGTCTCAGAGCTAAAGCCGGCTCTCAGCTCCAGTGATAGCCATAGAAGGTAAATAAATGCCAGAATAAAAAAAAAAGAAAGAAAAAAAGAAGAGGTTGGGAGCTTCAGTCACCCACCAGCCTGAAAATGGCCCTCAGCCCCTCTCCCAGACTGGCTAGGCATCACAGTGAGGATCCCCACCCTGAAGTGGGTGTGACCAGCTGCAAACAGCCATCATCCCTTCATCCAGGCTGGCCAGGCACCCCAGTGGGACCCCCACCCTGAAGGGGGTGTGACCAGCTGCAAACAACCATCATCCCCTCACCCAGGCTGGCCAGGCACCCAAGCGGGACCCTCACCCTGGTCCAAGACACCCTTCAGGGCAAACTATCCAGCCCCTACCCGTGCACCAGGCCTCTATCCTATATAGTAAAAGGGTAATATGCCTCCCAGCACCAGGATCAGCAGAGCAGCAAGGCCTCCCGGCCTGGGATCAGTGGAGTCACAGGCCTCCCAAACCTGGGATCAGTGGAGCCATGAGGCCTCCCAGCACCGGGATCAGCGGAGCTGCGAGGCCTCCCAGCACTGGGATCAGCGGAGCAGCGAGGCCTCCTAGCACCAGGATCAGCAGAGCAGCGAGGCCTCACTGCCCCTGTGTCAAGTGGAGCAGCGAGGCCTCCCAGCACCAGGATCAGCGGAGCAGCGAAGCCTCCTGGCAGCACCCAAACCCCCTGATTGCCCTGCCGCCCTGTGTGTGACAGGGGGCAGGGTCACAACCTCCCTATCCGCCCTGCTCTGTTCGTGAAAGGGGAAGGCGCCCCAACCCCCTGATCGACCCTGCTCTGTGCCTGATAGGGGGGAGCTCCCCAACCCCCTGATTGGCCCTGCTCTGTGTGTGACAGGTTGCAGTGCCCCAACCCCCCCCATGGGCTCTGCTCTGTGTGTGATGGGGTGGAGCTGCAACCTCCCCACCGGCCCTGCCCTGAGTGTGACAGGGGGGGAGTGCCCTAACCCCCTGATCGGACCTGCTCTGTGGGTGACGGGGGGGGGGGGTGCCCGCATCCTCCCCATTGACCCTGCCTTGAGTGTGACAGGGGGCGGCGCCCCAACCCCCAATCAGCTCTACCCTGAGTGTGACTGAGGGTGGCATTGCAACCTCCTGATCCGCCCTGCTCTGTGCATGACAGGGGGCAGCGCCCCAACTCCCCACTCGGCCCTGCTCTGAGCCTGACCAGGGGCTGCGGGGCAGGCACCTAGGGATTGGGCCTGCCCTCTGCCACCCAGGTGTGGGCCTAAGCCAGCAGGTCGTTATCTCCCGAGGGGTCCCAGACTGTGAGAGGGCACAAGTGGGGCTGAGGGATACCTCCCTGCCAGTGCACAAATTTTTGTGCACCGGGCCTCTAGTTGTATATAAGAGTATTTCTGTTAATGTTTTATGTCTTTATTGTTTGGATCAATCTGTTTAAAGATGGGGCACACCCCACTTTGCAGGGGGCCCAGTTGTTTGTTGGCAGGCTGAACATGTAATAGGGATTGCAGCAACTTTAAGACATCAACAGCCAGAAATTCAGGGTTTAAATTTTAAGAGACTTTTTGTCTGTGTGTCTGTAATGTAACTTTGGTTACTAATGTTCTTTGCTAACATAATTCATTCTTCGCCATTTGATGAACATAGGAAATCTTCTGTCTCTGAGTTGTGTGGGCTTTGTGCCACTCAGAACCAAAGGTTATTTTGCTGTGCCGAGTTAAGATTCTCCGATTCTAAGGCTAATGTCCCAGTCCATCCTTTTGAAAGTACTCATTTATTTACTGTAGGGTTGTTTTTTTAAAAAATTGTTTCTGTTTTTAAAATCTCATGTTATTACAGTCTACTCAGAAAGAAAAATATGGGAAATAAAACCTTCTAAACGCCCCCATGTCTTTTTCCTAGAAGGACCAGTTCTGCAGGCTGCAGAAATAGTAGCGGGAAGGAATCCACTCCCATTTTATAAAGAAAAATAAGCCTGTGAGTTATTCCTGTTAAAAAAAAATGAAGTTAAAGCCTCTGCTGAAAGCCCATGTGGCTTAGCTGACCAGCTAGACCCATTTTTAGGCCCACAGTGTATACATGAACCGAGTTAATGTCTATCTTGGGAATACTATTCTCAGGAGAAGAAACGGGAATGATTCGAAGGTGGGCTATGGCTACCTGGGAGAGGGAGCAACTGGCTGGCCCTGGAGTGCTTCCAGCAGATGTAACATTTCCAAACCTGGAAGCCCCAGTGGGACCATAACAAGGCCCATAGGGACACATAAGAGATACCAGAGAACTAATAATTTAAGGGATTAGGGAAGCAGTTCCCTGGTCTCAGAACCTAAATAAAGACTTTAATATTCAGCAAGGCAAAGAAGAATGAGAAAGTACTCTGGGCCAGGCCACGAGGACCCATTGGACCAAGGGATTTTAAAATTATATTTTGTCACCAATAGTTGGCCTGAAATCTTAAGAAAACTACAAAAGTTAGAGAAGTAGAAAGATAGAAGTGAAGAACTGCTAAAAGAGGCTCAGAAGGTCTATGTACGTAGAGATGAGAGAGGCAGAAACAGAAAGCT